GACAGGGAATCTTCATTAGAAGTTAAGGCTTGTTTGAATCCATGCCCTTGTGTTATTTGTACAGAAAAGCAAGGAGGGGGAAAAGGTTAAATTCAAGTGGTAGAAGAACAGCACAAACAGGATCCCTTTAGATAACAATCAAGTTAGAAACTCATTAAGAAATAATCAGGAGACTGTTTCACTTCACATGAAATTAGGTTAAAAACAAACAAACCGAACTCTGGCTTGGATTTTTGTCATGTCTCTGTGTCTCTTGAACCCTTCCAGTATGGTCTCTTTCTTTGTGAAACATGTTGTAAGTAGCACCGATTTCATCTTGTTCTTTCCTGGAAGCTTTTTAAATGTCACTAATATTGCTGCTGTAAAAGCGCCTGTTCTTGGGGAGATTTCACGTACCTGGAGTTACTGAGCCACAGAGCTGATCTCTATTGGCTCCTGGAGGGGGTGTATTGAATGCCTGTGGCTGAGGTGTATATGGATGAAAAGCAGCCGGGGTTGTCTCAGCATGATCCCTGTGGGGCACCTTGGATATTTCTGTGGCTGTGTTTTCATCTCTAGGCTTTTGTCTGTAACGGTAGAATTTAATGTTACAACAATACCCAGGTTCTTCCCTCACATCCTTCAAGTCTGGTTTCTTATCTCTTTCTGGACTGGATTTCTGCCCTGGAAGACAGGAGTTGGACCTGTTTAAATGCAATGGCTGGATTTTTTTTTTTAATGAAAGGGGGTGGGGAAATATTTAAATAAACACAGCATTAATCATGGGCCCCTAGACATTTGATAAACAATGGTAGGTTTTGCTAAAATGAGCTAAAGAAAAAAATATTTTCATACACCAAAAGCTTTTTATCATATTTTAAAAAAGGAAGTTCATGTGTTAAGAATTTTTAGAGAAGAGTCCCTCTAGTGCACAACTGGAAGAAGTAAGTGCTCAGCGTGCTTGTAAATGAAGTAAGTTGGCCGTATGAAGTAAGTATTCATGAGATTGGTTGTGGGGAATTTCCAGATTTCCAAGTAGGCTATAGTAAGTCCTGTCAATACTGTGCACCTTGGGAATAGACAGCATTCACCTTTGTATTTAACTTTTGTTAAATCCAAAAATTGTATACATAATGTACAACTGTTGGGAAATTCAAAGTATTTTGCAAACTGTTTCATTTTATCCTTAATACATTGATTTGACATTTGATTTAAAACAGTGCCAAGGAGGGTTCCAATGAAATAGGATTTCTTCCAATGAAATAGATTTGTATTTTTTTTATTAAAAATTTCCCTTTATTTTGAAGTTAGATCTTGTGGGATGGGGCCTTTAATACCAGTAAGTTGTTTCAATAAAGTTACCATTTTAATTGTTTATAACACATTGCAATTTTAGCTGATCAGATTACAGATATCTTTTCTATTGCCATTGCACATTTGGAAAAAAGAAACTAGTATAGCCTTTTATTGAATCCTCCTTGTATATATCAAGTTTACAAACTTGTTTTTTGACTGAGACTATCTGAACACATTTACTTTTTTTCAGTAAATAAAAACAGTCAAAATTGGGTATATTCAAGAAGTAACCAAGATAAAAAGTGTGGTATATTCAGGAGGTATTGAGGCAGCAGAAGACTTTTTAAAAGTCTTACTTTTAGTGGTCTCTTACGAAGGTTAATTTTCTTAGGCAGAGTTGGTGGGTGCTAAGCATTCAGAGCTAAAAGTGAAGCAGCTTGGGCTCCTGAGGATTCTATCTATCATATCACATTCCTATCTATCATAGGAAACAACATGTGCATATGTAAGTACGTAAAATATGTTGTTGTTTAGTCATTTTCAGTTGTGTCTGACTCTTTGTGACCTTTTTGGTTTTTTCTAGGCAAAAATAGTGGAGTGGTTTGCCATTTCCTTTTCCAGCTCATTTTTCAGATGGGAAAACTGAGGCAAATAGGGTTAAGTGACTTGCCCAGGGTCACACAGCTAGGAAGTGGCTGAGGCCAGATGTGAACTCTGGTGTTCCTAACTCCTAGACCAAAATTCTATCCACTGTGCCATCTTAGCCATCCACATAAAATATACTTAAATTCACAATATAGATAAAATATGCTTAAGGTAATTTCAAGACAAGGGCACACTAGTGGCTGGGGGAAATCAGAAAAGATCTCGTGTAGGAGGTTGCACTTGAGCTGAGTTTTGAGGAAAGGGGGGAGGATTCTAAGAGGGAGAATTGAGAAAGAATTGTCATCGAGGTGGGAGACATACATATGTAAAGACCCAGAGGTAGGAGATGAAATGTGATTAAAACACAGCAAGTAGGTAAGTTTGACTCAAAGGTGCAATTTATGAAGGGAAGTAACATGCAGTAGTAAACTTGGAAATGCCAGCTGGCTAGATCATGAAAGATTTTGAATGCCAACCAGAAGAGTTTGTGTTTGGTCCTAGAGGCAAGAGGGAGCTAAAATGACATGGCCAGGCCTACATTTCAGGAATTTCACTTTAGCAACTATACCAAGGATGGCATAGAGAGGGCGAAGACTTAGGGGCGAGAGACTTAATCAGGCCAGGCTGTTTCGAGAATCTAGGCAAGAGGTGATGACAGCCTGAACTAGGGCAGCAGTCTTGTAAGTGGAGAAAGAGGATGGATATAAGTCACCTTTCATTAGAAATACATAAAAAAGTCACTAATCAGGTTTTCAGAATGGCGTCTTTTGTCACAGAAAGACAACAGAAACTCAATAAATATTATTGGATGAATGGCCAGTAAAGATTACAAAAATAAGGAGCGTGAATGAGCTTTTGAAGTGAATGATGAAAGATGACCTTGATCTAAGGGAACAAGTTCAGAGACAAGTTTTATCACTAATAAAACCCTTGTGGACTTTCAAGTATGATGAGCTTCCAAAGTCACCACTTCTTTGTCATGTGTCAGGTTCAAGATAGCCTTTCTTGTATCATTTCCTGGTATCTCATTTCTACTTTTCCTACATGTCTGTTTAGTGGCTAGTTGGCATTGTTATTCTGCTATTTAAATTTTTTTATATCTCAAGTGTGGGCCTTTAACACCATAGTACAGCTTGTAAACCGAAGCTAACAGAAGCTTGCTCTGAGCAAGGAAACGTTAAGGTCACTGGAATTTTTAATACATACCAAGTACTACTGTGTATGGCTGAGTCTCAATGGAAGCAAACCTATGTATGTCACTGCTTTTTTTTTTCCCCACATCTACTTTGCCTATGGCATCCTTCTTGAATTATATTTGTTTGTGTTTAGACTGTAATATTGGAATGGGGGGGGGAGATGGAGTGGAGATCTGTTGTTTTCTGTTTTTTTGTCTTTGCTGTGACTCTCTGGTGAAAGTAATAAGAAGAATGTATGGCTTTCTCCAGTAACATTCAGCAGCCCAGGAGGCTAAAAGGAGGAATTGGACCATTGTAGTTACCCAGGGAACAAGATTCACAGGTTAGGAACTATGGAACATCTAGGAAGCAAGTGATTCTAGGGTGGTAGGTAATGGAACATTGTATGGCAGATTACATTGTCAAGGCTGGGTGTGAAAGCAAGTAAAGACAGAGCAGAAAAGATGGAAATATTGCTTATTTGTGATCATTTTTTTTTCTATCGTTCTGCAAAAGTACGGTATTTCAGACACATTCTGGGATGAATTGATTATAGTGAGCTATTTATATGACCCCTGAGTCAAATATAAAATTCTCTGTTTGGCTTTTATAGCCTTTTATAACCTAGCCTTTCCCCATCTTTCCAGTCTTTTCACACTTTATACATCTTCGTGGACTCTGTGATCCAGTGACACTGGTGTCCTTGCTGTTCTTCATGCAAGACATTCCAACACCTACCTGCATTTTCACTGGCTGCCCTTCCATGCCTGCAGTGCTCTTCCTCCTCACCTCCACCTCCTGGCTTCCTGGCTTCATTCAAATCCCAACCTGCCTTCTGCAAAAAGTCTTTCCTGGTCCTTCTCCTCCCATTCCCTTCCCTCTAAGAGTACTTTACATCTCCCCTGTATATATCTTGTATGTACATAGTTGTTTGGTCATTGTCACCCCATGCCATCATTAGAATGTGAACTGCTTGAGGGCCAAGATTGTTTTTGCCTTTCTTTGTATCCCTACTGCTTAGCAAAATGCCTTAAATTTCTTAGTCGACTGGCTTGAGATCCTAAATAATTAATTATTTATAATTATTATAACATTATATATTATATGCGATATATGGGGTAGAACACATATGTAATACATTATAATATATAATTATACTATATTATATATTATTCTATATACTATATTATATTATAATCATTAATAATATATTTATGGGAAAATGAGTTCCAAACACAGAATCTACAGTCGTTTGTGTAAACACAAAAAAACTTTATATTTTCCATCTGCATTTGGTTTGGAGTATTTGTGCTTTGTTCTGCTTACCCACCATGGGTTGGGTGCCATTGGCTTCCTTGGGGTGCCGTAGCCCCAGACCTGTTTTCATCTCTCATTAATGAGCTTATTCATAAAAGATGGAAGTAGGTGCAGACTCTCCTCACTAAAAGAGATATGAGAAGTCTTTCTTGGTTGGAAGTCATCATAAGCTAAAATTTGTTATGTTACCTCTACCTCGTAGAGATACCCTCCCTGAATAAGGAGAAGACTTCTTGAAAAAAATAAAAAGAAAAGAAAACTTTGTAAGGAAATGTGGTTAGTTGTCCACACTGGAACAAATTCTCCTTTGTGTTTAAACCTTTATAAGTAGACCTGTATAAAATTCAAAGTCCTTTCTTTGCAGGGATCTCTAAAATATGTGTGTCTTCCCCTCTCTCCCCATTTCCTCTCCTTGAATGGGGAAAATACCCTATGTATAATTTACAGCTTATAGAAACATGATTTTCTGAGTAGTTAGGATTTTTTAATTACTTTTAATAAATCAAAGTATTATCCTATGAAAAAATAGGTCAATTTTTGTCTTTTGCCCACCAATAAAGAACATCTTTGCATTGCTTTCTATTTCAGGTTGCCCGACTCATGGAGATGGGATTTTCTAGGGTGGATGCTCTGGAGGCCCTGAGAGCTTCAAATAACGACCTTAATGTAGCTACCAACTTTCTGCTGCAGCACTGAGGAGCTTGAGGAATTCAGCTGACATGGTTGGCTTACCATCTGAGGCGGAGGCAGCATCTGCCTCCTGGATGACATTGAAAAATCTTTACCAAATGAATCCAAGGCAACAAAGCCATGTCTACAAAAACTAAGTTATAATGTTGGGTAGAGGGTAGGTATGGCCTGTTGCTGCCATGCCATTAAACCCCAAGGTCATTATGATTATACTATCTGAAAATAAGTTTGCCATTGAATTAGCTAGCATGTTCTTTTTTATCTTCATTTTGAAAAACTGGGTCTTTTCCTTAGTTTTGGGAATCAACAGTAAAGAATTTGTTACAGTATGTGTATAAAATGCTGAGAGAGTACAAACTTATGCAGCAGCTCAGGGCCACTGCAGAGGGGACATAGAAGCTGTTGTAAGTTATACTATGTTTATTATAGTACATTATCCCGCATAATCTTTTGATTGCAATAATAATATTGAAGGGAAAAGGGAATAATGTTATTTCAATAAGGACATATCAGATTATTCTTTGTAAAAGTTTTTTTAATTGTAGTTTTTTTTTCTCAAATTTATTTTTAAACCTAAAGGGCTATTCAAGCCACACCCAATACCACCTGGATACCAGAAGTATGATTTCTATATCTATTATAAATCGTATTAAGTAAGGACTAACTAGGGAAGCACTGAGTCATGCACTCCTCATTATTACCAATCCGGGGCAGATTTTCTAAGCCTTTCTCCCCTTGTCCTCCAGAAAAAGCTACTAATTAAAAAAACCTAGAAGAGACTCCAAAACAATGAAAAAGCTGTGGGGGGAAAAAAAGGATCTAGTGTTAACTCTCCCTTGAAAATCCAAAGTAGATCCGTAATGGGGAAGTGATTCAGACAGCAAAAGAATGAAAATGGAGCTAAAAAAACCAAACAAACCAGCTCGACGGCATCCAGCCGGCTTCAACAGGATCAGAATGACCTGCTGGATCTTCATGATGGCCTAGGTGAATACTTTATAGTTGACATGTGATGGATTTGTGAATAAGCTATCCATTATTTTCAGGAAGTGGAGATGAGGAACTCTAGCCCACCTTTTGTGTCTGGTTCTTGGGCTAAGTATTCGCCTGCTGAAAACTTAGATTGATTGTCCCCTGGCTGCACCACCAGCATTAGCCTCTCTAGAAGTGGCACTTCCTGGCAGCCACAAAGCTGGGAAGCTTGGCATCTCAAAGGGCCAACCCAGGGCAATGGAGAGGATATGGATAACATTTCAGAATTATCACCATAAGCAGAGAAAACAGAAATCAGGATTGGAAAGGAATGGAAAACGGAAGGGGAAAGAGAAGGCTGAAAAAAATCTTTATCAGATACAGAACAAGTAAAAATAAGGGAGGAAATGCAACTCCATTTGTCATCTGCAAAGTGAGCAGAAATGTATCAAATTGATGCAAATTTAGGTACATGATGCTCATCATAATAAAGTTTAAAATGTATTTTACCTTTTTAGTATTTTTCACATAGGATTGACTCAATCTAAAGAAGACTTTCTCCTAGGCTTTGAATGATGAAATACAGAAATGTTTATCAGGCTGCCTGTCTCTCTTTGGATGAAGAGCTTTATGGGAGAAAAGGGTTGGAGAGAGCTCTTGTTCACTCTAGCACTGTCTAGTTAATAGTAGCTATGTCCTAAAAGAATAAATGTGTTGCTAAGGCCAGATTCCAGGGCTCATAAGCATCACTGCAGTGCCTAGGACCTAGTAGGGCCCAAAGAACTTTGTGTCCCTCTGGCTCAAAGCTCCATCAGCAGCACCTAATTAGTAAAGTAATAAGAACAAGTAATCCTGATGGAGAGGTCTGAGGCCAAGTCATTAAGCATGTTCACGTGTAGACGGTATTGAAGCAATTCAGAGTGATTGTAAGAGGGGCACACATTTAATGTACTTTCAAAAAAAAAAGTGCAATACATATTCACATCATGTGTTATTTTTGTGTACATAGTCAAATAATTCATAACCAGTTCATCAGAGAGGCAGAGAGAATTTCTCTTCTAAGTTCCCAGTTATCTTAAATAACACTTAACTGGAAAATCAGGATCTTAAAGAAAGGTGTGTATTTTAAGGTCATCTGAAGCAACATTATCAGCATCTACACATGAGACTATTTTGGTCAGGACCTATTATTTCATCAGTTTATGGAACTTCCATTTCCATTAGTACCAGTTGGCAACTCCCATGTGATTCATAGTCTTAGAGAGTTGCCTAGGCCACTGAGAGGGTAAGTGTCTTACCCATAGTCATACAACTAATCTATTTGGGAGGCAGGACTGAAGCCCAGGTCCTTCTGACTTCAATACCAGCCTTCAATCCACTATGCCAGTCTGCCTCTCATATATTAAATATGGGGGTTTTTTCCTTTTAAAAAGGATTAATCACTGAGTGGTTTTGTTTGTTGTTTGTTACTGTGTTTTGAGAAACCCTTCCAATTCAGTTTTTATACTTAATGTTCTTCTCTACCATAAATGATAAGGCACTGCCTTCCTTGTTATCCCTTGGGGTTTGGGTTTTTTCCCCTCTTCTACTCACACAGCTTGTGGCCTCAGGATCTTTTTCTTTGTAATCACCTCCAGACTGTAAATCTCCACCCCTGTCTTAATACCAGTACTTTACTTTCCTTCCTGGCATCTTATTCCACACCAAGAGCTTCTAGCACTCACCATCCTTGCTCTACCCCATCCTTGATAATCAGCTGTTTCCCACCAGATGGCAAGCTAATCATCTGCTCCAAGTAAGCTTAGGTCCCAAGGGCTTTGAGTACAGGAAAAATATATGCACACCCACACCTTCCATCAGACATTGAAAATCTCATTCAGGTAGATAACATGATCTTTGAGAAAATCCAATATTTTCCTCCCATTGTCATGATTTGTGCCAGAGGAGGGCACCAAAGAGCCATGTTGATCTGTCATTAAGCCTAGAAAAGTGTTTGCGGATTATTGAATTAATACCATGCTGATTTTCATTATTAAGTGGGTAGGTTCCAGAGAGAGGCAAAAACCTTGTTAGTAGGTTCACCTGGCCTAAGGGAGAACCTTTATCAGTAAAGCCCTGATTGATAGAAGGGCCCCAGATAACCGCCTCAGCATAAATTACATTGAAGTTATGGAAGGAACATCAGAACTCTGATTGGTAAACTAAGCCCCACGTTATGAAAATACCCAAGTGCCATTTATGAAATGAAATCACTTTTTAATACCTGAACTTGTAATCTATTCCTACAGCAATAGTCCTTTCACCTCCGTAGGATCATGTCCTAAAATGTTTTGGAGGGAATTACAGTATAGTTCAAAGTTTATTTTACTGGATGTCTCAGGCATTAACTAATATGTATTGATCAAAAGAGATCTGATTATCTTCACTCTGCATCTCACACCTTTCCCTTGACCTCAACTCACACAGTGATTTTGAAATAAAAGAACGGGATTAAATGAGTGTCATAAATAGGGATCAGCATTTCTCATTGCAGTTTTATGGCTTTGACTAAAGATTTTTCTTTTTCATTTTATGTCAAAGCTATGTCAGAACAAATATAAAGGCAATCTGCTCAGACCACTGTAAGTGTACTATATCTTTTGTTTTTTAAGCAGCAGGATCTAGGGACCCCAGTCCCCCAAAGAGATAGCTTTTGCACTCTGAATTGAAAATGGTATTATAGACTACCTCCTTCGATCAACATATTTTCTTGCAATATTAGCATGCCATTTTAAAATAATCATTGTGTACTTTGGGGTGTTGTACAATAATCTCTTTTTATCTTTTAAATACAAGGAAATGTTCAAAGGGATCTATCTATGTGAGCAATAGATACAGGGGCCCTCTTTTACACTCCAGTTTGGTACAGGCCAGAAAATTCCAGATATTTTGTCACCCGGGGCATATTTTGTCTTCTGGGCATTCTGAGGTGGACCGTGAATGCCTGTGGCATTTTAGGAGCACCCCAGGATTCAGGTTGGAAGTGTAATGGATGCAGGCATAGCGTGGCCACCCACAAGAGGCCAACTCTGTGATAATGCCAGGGTGTTCAGAACTGCCCTAAATGAAGACTAAACAAAATTGAAGTGAGGGAGTGAAAAGTTGCCCCCAGAGCCCTTTGGGACTTCCGGCAGTGAACCTTGAATCAATTCCTGGGGATAATTCTCAATGGGGTAGTTCTCAGCCTCCTCCCTGGAGCACAGGATGGTTCTGACCCAAACTGAGAGGAAGTCCGTGTGGCAGCCTCCGAGCAACCAGACTCCACAGCAGGAAGATGAAAAATGAATTACTACGCACAATCACTACCAAGGGATTACTTAGCCTTTTATTTCATGGACCCCTTTGGCAGTCTGGTGAAGCCTACGGACCCTTTCTCAGAATAATGTTTTTAATTACATAAAATACATAGGATTACAAAGGAAACCAATTATATTGAAATACGATTATCCAAATTTAAAAAACAACCAAGGTCATTTACTCATCCGCCCCTTACCCCACTCTGAAGAACCCCTGATTATCCATCTGTAAGTAACAAAAGTAGAAAAGCTGTTTCAGATGAATCTGGCCTAGTACCATTATGTAGGCTTCCTGAGACTTGATTCAGTTCAGTTCAATCCAATAAGCATTTATTAAGCTCCTTCTAGGGCAGGGCGCTGCATTGGTGATACAGACAAAACAGAACCTGTCACTGTGCCCTAGGCTTAAATTACAGCCTTCCAGGAAGCTCCTGTAAATACCAAGTATATACAAAGCAATATCGAATAATTTTGTGGGTTAGCAATCTCTCACAATGGGACTGATAAGAAGTCTTCATGAGACTGGAAAAGTGAACGAGAAACAGATTGTGGAAGGCTTTAGTCTGAGGAGTCTGTATTATACCCTAGAGGCACCATGGAATTTTGAGGTGAGGGAGGAGGCGAGGAATGGACGTGGTCACATCCTTGTTTTAGGATTATTTGGTAGTTGGTTAAGTTTACCATCGGGCATTAAGACCTCTACTTCCCTCCAAGAGGATGGAGCCTCTTTTTACGATTTTGAAGGCTGTTCAAGGGTTTTCTGTGTAATAGGATTAGAATTGTAAACCCATGGGAACATGGTATATTTCATTCTTTATTGGTTCAAATCTTTGAACAGTATGGCAGTATTCATCAGAAGGATACAATAGAATGGTAAACAGAAGTGTTAGAGCATAGCTAAGAAATGGTCAACCAGCCTGATATTGTCTATGCAGCTTTTTTCATGGGGCAACTTATAAAACCTGCATTTTTGTTGTTTATGAAATACAAGTTTTCTCTATAAATAAAGCTTTCAGGATTGTGCAGCTGTTTTCAAAAGGTATCAAACTGCTAAATGTCTTCAGCCCAAATTTCAGTGGATGTGCGTTAACTGCTCAAGAGGCGGGACCTCATTGCGTTTAGATTCTCACATACATGTCTGTGGTGTTTTGTGCCTATTGATGCCTTAATGACCTATTAAAAGAAAAAAAAAGCGGTTATTTTGTTAAAATTAAGCAAACAGCTGGACTAAAAAAAAGCCAAATCCTGGATGAGCTACAAGAAATTCCCTGACCCACTTCCTAGGTAGAGTTATGACAATGTGGTTTGTGTTCTGGATGACCTAATTGTGACTAGAACAATGGTTTGGTAAAAGAAAGTTAAATCACATTATCTCCTGGCTCAGTCTTTCTTATTTCTAGCGTTTGAGTAAGTTTGCGCGTCAGATACATTTGTGATTCACTTCTTTAAAGGGTCTTGCTACCTACCACTTTCAAAGTAGCAAGGAAAAGTGCCCATCTTCTAGCATTTGCAGAATGTATCCATTAGGTTGGTTTCTCTACATACACCTTGACACACACACAGCTCCGACAGATGGTCAGTGCCCTGGTCTATCTCTCCAGTTCTTCATTTGTTTCCAGAGGAACTGGTGCTGTTTTGGAGCTGGGATGCTCCTTACAACTTATGTACTAATAGGCAAGGCACTTAATCCTCCTTTGAAGGCCTCAGCTGCCTCATTTGGAAGAGGTTGGACATCAGGGTTCTTCCCTTTTTTTTGTGAGCCCTACCCTTTGGCATTCCAATGGACCCCTTTCTTAGAATAATGTTTTCATAACAATAACAACAACAAAAACAATAATAAGTATATATTTTATATAATTTATGTACTATATTTATATTGTTTATATTATATATCTATGTATTATATTTTATAATATATAATTGTGGAAATGCTACATTTCTGTCAGAGATTAGTAAAAAATAACAAATATAATTTTTTTTTCTCATCCATGTTCACAACCTCCCTGA